GAAAATCTCATACTGATTTCGGAAGTGACTTTATTATTTGTATCTCACGCAATAAAAATGTCGAGATTAATTGTACCGTAGACCACTGGCATATGTCCTATATGTCATGTGACGTAAGTAGTAGTTAATCTTGCGTTCATCCTCAACATTTCTTTAAGTGCTGCGACCTGATCAGATTGCATATCGCTGTCTGTATCAATAAAAAGACTTCTTAATGTTGTGTTTATTTTCAATGCTTCTTCAACTGCTTGAACTACTTCTTTCGATATAGTGTGGATTCCAATAGCGAGGCTTGTTAACGTTAAATTCATTTTTAATCCTTCTTCAAGGGCTTTGGCGCCCTCTTCCGATGTACTGCTATAACCCATATCCACACTTGTTAATGTTGAATTTATTTTCAGTGCTTCTGCAATGGCTTTAGCACCCTCTTCCCATATACAGTTGCTTGCTATATTGACACTTGTTAATGTTGAATGCAATCGGGATGTTGAGTTTGATCGGGAGTCACAATAGTACTTTGTACTTTGAAGTTCTGGTGTGTGTTTTGCTTAGACATCGAATATTGCATTCTGACGCTGTTCGAGTATATAATCATTTGTATCTAAAGATGTTTGTTCAAAAGTATCCGTTTGTAATGACCAAAAAAATTGATACCCAGTAAAATATCCAGATATTTCTCTTTCCAGGTTCAAAAACTAGGTTGCAATACACGTTCTGTAAAAGTAAACATAACAACATACGACTATTTCCAGTTTCTAGTTCTTTATCCTGTAGCTGCTGTTCAGAAGGTAACAATTTGCTCATCTTTTTGTCATATACTGGATTAATCAAACGCATCGGTGGCACAGTACCTTCTTTAATACACACTATTAATCCATTTATTTCGCCAATCATTGTGTACGATTGTGGTGGACGTCTTGTACGATAAAGAAAAGTAATGTCATTGATGGATTTCATTGCAGTTTGACGCACAACCATTTTAATAACTATCACGTGTTCTGTTGTGCCTTTTCTCGGGTATCAACGGTATAAGAGAAGCTTTGATAATCAGGTGGGCTAAAGAAAAGTCGAAGTATGAGCATTCAGATTGTGGCTGTTTCGATCATGCACTTACCATAAATAATGTTCATACCTTTTAGCCACCTTATATAATTCAATATCTTCTAACACTAGAGCGACATTATCACCTAACGGAAAGTTGCATGTTATACATAAAAGACGATCTTTTCGTCCGAATGAATCAGTCATTAAGTTAGCATCTCGTTGTTGATCGTCATATGCTCGATCAACAGATTTTTTTTCAATGCTTCTTCAACTGCTTGAACTACTTCTTTCGATATAGTGTGGATTCCAATAGCGAGACTTGTTAAAGTTAAATTCATTTTTAATCCTTCCGCAAGGACTTTGGCACCCTCTTCCGATGTACTGCTGTAACCCATATCCAGACTTGCTAATGTTCTTTTAATGCTTCTGTAAATGCTTTGCCTCCTTCATTTGATATATCCTTCTGTTCAATATTAAGACTTGTTGCAGTATTATGTCTTATTTCCTGGACGATTTCGTATCCCTCTACAGAATTACCGCACATTGGAGAAAGAAAAAGAAACAAAAAAATGTTTTTCTGTTACATATCGTTGATGTATTAGATTGATACCGATAGCTACATTTTAAACGCGCTTATTACTTATCAATAAGGATTGATAGTACGACCGTCAGAATCATTGCTTCGAGTTTGAAATTTCTTTTCTGTCACTTGAATGTTCTCGAAACTGATCAACTAAGCAAAAATATTCAGAAGAGAATTTGTTCTTTAACTCTTATTCAGAAGAATTGATCAGCTATAAAACAAAGCATTGCTCTGCAAACAAATTTGTTTATTTATCGAAAAGATTGTTTTCTTTTGATAAACAAAAGAATAAGTTTTTTCTTTTAATCAAATAAATACAAAAGAATATCTGAATAAAATGGACCTACAAACGTTGTCTTTAAAATGATGATGTTTCATTTGATTTTGCAATTGCTTTATTTGTTAATAATGAACCATTTAAATATAAATTCATCATAGTTGGCATACAATCACTAATGATTTTAATGTCCTGAGGAAATTTGAATCGAAAATATTCCGCACAATGATGTGTAAACATTTGACAGCTTAAAGTAGATGACCACTTGTCGCTTTTATTTAATGCACATATTCGATCATGGACTTCAGATATCAGTTGATGTTCAACTTCTTGTGCAAAACGATTCGGCATGCGATATATTTGAATATTAATTAGAGGTATTTGCCCAACTTTTCTTATTAATGAGTAGTGATCCCATTTACGAATTTTAAACACAGAATCCACATACGTTGTGTGGTTAATTGAACTGACCACATAAAGATCGTAATGAGTAGCAATGAAATCAGTTTCTGTAGATGAGCCTGTAAGAATGATTGATAAAAATTAAATAATAAAAAATATTATTTTTAAGTACCTGATATATCAGTTGCCATAAAGAAGATGAAATCGAAAAAAAACGCATTATGGTATGCGTTTTTTTTTCGATTTCATCTTCTTTACCTTCTTTTTTCGGTTTATGTACAACAACATAAACTGAACCAGCTTGAGTTAAGTCATCGAATTCCTTTAGACAAATCAAATCAGGTCGACGTATATCAATCTTGTCCAAATTGATTCCCGTACGAATAAAACTAATAATTGATTTTATATCTATAATAAGAAGAGACTATATATGATATCCATTAATAACAGTTCTTTTTCATTATCTAATATCAAAATTCTTTCATTAAATAATTCCCTTGACTTTAGTCTAGGACAGGGTTGCCAACTCAAAAGCTAAGAAATCAGAAAAAAAACCTAAAAATCAGAAAAGCAAAGTGTCAAAAATCAAAAGACGTAGTTTTTTGCCCCAAACACAGGAAAAACGGTTACATCTTAATTTTTTTAAAACTGATCGTCATTTGGCTCTTTTTTTTCTTTCTTTGTCCCATATGGTTTATAGAAGAAATTCAACTTTAACTGTGTTTGGAGAAGAAAACTGTCCTATTTTTTACAGTTCATAAAACCATCTTGTCCAGCACTAACGCTTATATTACAAATTATTATAAAGAGAGAGGTCCAGCATTTGTGAAACCTCTTGTAGTTTCAGGTAGTGTTGGCTTTGTTTATTTATTTGTTTATTTTACTTATTTTTTCTCGTTTATTCTTCTTCAATTCTTCTTATCTCGTTATCATGTATAAACGTCGCAAAACACATGACTCTCCCAAATCGGGTGAATCACAACCACAGACTCTCTGTTCTTACCAGGCTATCGTCACCGATAATGATAACGCTCTATAATGTGATGCATGCGACACTTGGTTCCACATTGGATGTGTTAACGTTTCACCAATGACATATACGGCGTATCAAACTCTAGCTGAACAACAACAGTTCTCTACCTGGTTTTGTCCAAAGTGTTTGGAATAGAACGCCAAAGTTCAGCTTTATCCGCATCTGTAGAAACAGTTTTGGAGCCTAGAAACAAAGACTGAGGTAAAGTGGAGTGAGAAGAGGATAGTTTCTTAATAGAGCTCCAAAACATGTGAGGATCAGAAAATAAAGAAGAGAGAGATCGAAAATAAGAAGATTTTTCACGACGATAGAGAGAAAGAACAAGATTTCTTGCTTTACAGAACTCAACAAGGTTAAGAGAAGTGTAACGACGTTTAAGTTTACGAAAATGTTGATTACGGATAGAGATAAGATGTGCAAGCTTTGGAGAAGGCGAGAGAAGAGAAGATAGAATATGAACTGGCACCAGTGGAACGAATCTACGGATGGCATCGTTTACGTGCTCAGTTCAAATGTGGACAGCCGTATCAACATCGGTAGCCATATAAAGGCCATGAGGTATAAGAGAGAGAAAACGCCGTAGTTCAGGCCACTGTGATTTTTAAAGTCATAATGCTAAGAAGTAGAAGGAAAAAGAGGTTGAACAGGTACATCAAAAGTAGCAGATAAACAAAAATGAGGAGAACAGCCAACAGGGGGAAACGAGGGGAAAGAAACATTGTTCCAAGAAGAAGGATAAAAGATATAGTCAATACACGTATTTGAAGTAGTAGTGACAGAAAAATCAA